AAAAAAAAGATACAATTCTATGGTTATACAAATAATGTACATGGAAAGATAAAAAAAAGATACAATTCTATGGTTATACAAATAATGTACGTGGAAAGATAAAAAAATATATACAATTCTAGCTATAAGCATATGACTCATTCCATAATGAAAATGGGCTCAATACATTTATACAACAAAATCCAATCGGTGGTTGACTTGTGCAAGTGAAAACCTCTCAAGTAAATCAATACACGCATCTTTATGATATCACGTTCCTAATCGGCAGAGACTACCGGAAGTTTACTTCCGATGACCTCCCAGGCCTTACGACAATATCATGTACATGCTAATTTGAACGTTTCGCCGATATCTGCGTATACTTATGTGTAAGTTACAAGGTCAATAAAATCTTCCGCAATGACATCACCGTCAGGGTTCGACTCGTTGTCTATTGTTCGATGCTTTTATTTTACATGCTGGAATCAGTAACTTTATAATATATGTAGTTATTGAGACTGACATGGTCATAGACAGGTACTGTACGTAATGAATACCTACGTCAACCAACACAGCACGAGCCCGGAACGTTTGGACGATTCTGACGATGATTATCAAGAGGTAAGCTTTCTCAAACTATCATCCAAGTCTACTTGACATTCAGTTGACAAGAACTATTATCATGATGTAGATAAATGTGATGTTGATCGGTATTGAGGTGACCATTTCTTTTCAAACTATTGTTATATCTCAAAGAGTTTTGTAATGGGTGACCATTGTTTTCTTACCTTAAATGTCAAAGTTTGGTAGGTAGCTGGCTATTATTGTCACACTGTAGACATGGTAGTAAGGCGACCATCATTGTCGTACTGTAGACATTGTAGTAAGGTGACAGTCATTGTCGTACTGTAGGTTAATGTTACAGTTTGGTAGTAAGGTGACCATTATTGTCGTACTGTAGGTTAATGTCATAGTTTGGTAGTAAGGTGACAGTCATTGTCGTACTGTAGGTTAATGTTACAGTTTGGTAGTGAGGTGACCATCATTGTCATACTGTAGGTTAATGTCACAGTTTGGTAGTAAGGTGACCATCATTGTCGTACTGTAGGTTAATGTCACAGTTTGGTAGTAAGGTGACCATCATTGTCGTACTGTAGGTTAATGTCACAGTTTAGTAGTGAGGTGACCATCATTGTCGTACTGTAGGTTAATGTCACAGTTTGGTAGTGAGGTGACCATCATTGTCGTACTGTAGGTTAATGTCACAGTTTGGTAGTGAGGTGACCATCATTGTCGTACTGTAGGTTAATGTCACAGTTTGGTAGTGAGGTGACCATCATTGTCGTACTGTAGGTTAATGTCACAGTTTGGTAGTGAGGTGACCATCATTGTCGTACTGTAGGTTAATGTCACAGTTTGGTAGTGAGGTGACCATCATTGTCGTACTGTAGGTTAATGTCACAGTTTGGTAGTGAGGTGACCATCATTGTCGTACTGTAGGTTAATGTCACAGTTTGGTAGTGAGGTGACCATCATTGTCGTACTGTAGGTTAATGTCACAGTTTGGTAGTGAGGTGACCATCATTGTCGTACTGTAGGTTAATGTCACAGTTTGGTAGTGAGGTGACCATCATTGTCGTACTGTAGGTTAATGTCACAGTTTGGTAGTGAGGTGACCATCATTGTCGTACTGTAGGTTAATGTCACAGTTTGGTAGTGAGGTGACCATCATTGTCGTACTGTAGGTTAATGTCACAGTTTGGTAGTGAGGTGACCATCATTGTCGTACTGTAGGTTAATGTCACAGTTTGGTAGTGAGGTGACCATCATTGTCGTACTGTAGGTTAATGTCACAGTTTGGTAGTGAGGTGACCATCATTGTCGTACTGTAGGTTAATGTCACAGTTTGGTAGTGAGGTGACCATCATTGTCGTACTGTAGGTTAATGTCACAGTTTGGTAGTGAGGTGACCATCATTGTCGTACTGTAGGTTAATGTCACAGTTTGGTAGTGAGGTGACCATCATTGTCGTACTGTAGGTTAATGTCACAGTTTGGTAGTGAGGTGACCATCATTGTCGTACTGTAGGTTAATGTTACAGTTTGGTAGTGAGGTGACCATCATTGTCGTACTGTAGGTTAATGTCACAGTTTGGTAGTGAGGTGACCATCATTGTCGTACTGTAGGTTAATGTCACAGTTTGGTAGTGAGGTGACCATCATTGTCGTACTGTAGGTTAATGTCACAGTTTGGTAGTGAGGTGACCATCATTGTCGTACTGTAGGTTAATGTCACAGTTTGGTAGTGAGGTGACCATCATTGTCGTACTGTAGGTTAATGTCACAGTTTGGTAGTGAGGTGACCATCATTGTCGTACTGTAGGTTAATGTCACAGTTTGGTAGTGAGGTGACCATCATTGTCGTACTGTAGGTTAATGTCACAGTTTGGTAGTGAGGTGACCATCATTGTCGTACTGTAGGTTAATGTCACAGTTTGGTAGTGAGGTGACCATCATTGTCGTACTGTAGGTTAATGTCACAGTTTGGTAGTGAGGTGACCATCATTGTCGTACTGTAGGTTAATGTCACAGTTTGGTAGTGAGGTGACCATCATTGTCGTACTGTAGGTTAATGTCACAGTTTGGTAGTGAGGTGACCATCATTGTCGTACTGTAGGTTAATGTCACAGTTTGGTAGTGAGGTGACCATCATTGTCGTACTGTAGGTTAATGTCACAGTTTGGTAGTGAGGTGACCATCATTGTCGTACTGTAGGTTAATGTCACAGTTTGGTAGTGAGGTGACCATCATTGTCGTACTGTAGGTTAATGTCACAGTTTGGTAGTGAGGTGACCATCATTGTCGTACTGTAGGTTAATGTCACAGTTTGGTAGTGAGGTGACCATCATTGTCGTACTGTAGGTTAATGTCACAGTTTGGTAGTGAGGTGACCATCATTGTCGTACTGTAGGTTAATGTCACAGTTTGGTAGTGAGGTGACCATCATTGTCGTACTGTAGGTTAATGTCACAGTTTGGTAGTGAGGTGACCATCATTGTCGTACTGTAGGTTAATGTCACAGTTTGGTAGTGAGGTGACCATCATTGTCGTACTGTAGGTTAATGTCACAGTTTGGTAGTGAGGTGACCATCATTGTCGTACTGTAGGTTAATGTCACAGTTTGGTAGTGAGGTGACCATCATTGTCGTACTGTAGGTTAATGTCACAGTTTGGTAGTGAGGTGACCATCATTGTCGTACTGTAGGTTAATGTCACAGTTTGGTAGTGAGGTGACCATCATTGTCGTACTGTAGGTTAATGTCACAGTTTGGTAGTGAGGTGACCATCATTGTCGTACTGTAGGTTAATGTCACAGTTTGGTAGTGAGGTGACCATCATTGTCGTACTGTAGGTTAATGTCACAGTTTGGTAGTGAGGTGACCATCATTGTCGTACTGTAGGTTAATGTCACAGTTTGGTAGTGAGGTGACCATCATTGTCGTACTGTAGGTTAATGTTACAGTTTAGTAGTAAGGTGACCATCATTGTCGTACTGTAGGTTAATGTTACAGTTTAGTAGTAAGGTGACCATTATTGTCGTACTGTAGGTTAATGTCACAGTTTAGTAGTGAGGTGACCATCATTGTCGCACTGTAGGTTAATGTCACAGTTTGGTAGTGAGGTGACCATTATTGTCGTACTGTAGGTTAATGTCACAGTTTAGTAGTAAGGTGACCATCATTGTCGTACTGTAGGTTAATGTCATAGTTTGGTAGTTAGGTGACTATTATTGTCATGCCTTGGGTTGACATATAGATGGCGAGAAGAATGGTGCATCCTTGTTTCGATTTATCGAAGATAGATTAGACACAAATAATTACAGTAACAGATAATGAAGACATTAATTAGTAAATAACAGTAACATTATTCTCTATTCAACATCAAATCGTTCCATTTTCTTAAAGGGCTATGAACGAGTGGGTAGGCCAACCCCTGCACATATGCCTACCAGAAGCGGGAGTGAAGCTGGTGAGCCAGCGGATACAGTAGAGGTACCCCAGGTAGCCAATGTGAGGCGGAGGAAGAACCTGATCCTGGTCGGGTGTATACTAGTAAACCTGGGCCAGTCTGTCGTGTTCTCTATGGCTGTGCTGGGTAAAATTAAATCAGATCTTAGCAATGACGAAGCAGACACCATACGAATGGCACTGTTGATCACCAGACGTTTGGGAGGTAGGGTCAGCCATCAAATTGTATTCATTATCATTTCTTTATTTCCTCCAAATTAAAGAGTTACGAATTTATATAAAAGTAAGTAACTGTTGTTTAACACATCCGAGTGTCCCAGTGTTAGTTTCCATGTCCACATCAGTACACAAAATATCGCTATTATTTGACTGAAAAAAGGCAAAATAAAGTCATTTTCATCTAAGAGTCTTACGAGTAATAGCGATTATGAAGCATTAATGATAATACATATACAAGTTCCATCGGATAAAGTGTTAATGTCTATCGTATTTTTCCAATGTGTAGTTGTAATATTTTATTGTAGTAACTTTAATTGAAATCCTGTCCTTTTTACCCTTCTAGTCCCGTTTGCATCCCTCCTTATGATAGGCATGGGTTACCGTATCGTGGGGATCATCGGATGTTCCCTTGTCGGCCTCGGGCTATTTATAGCTTCCTGGGTACCCCGTGTGGCAGTGGGAACCATTACCTTTCTGGTCGGGGGAGTAGCAGGTAGTCGATTAAAGCCGTACCAAATGCTTCTCTTATTTTAGATTAATTACTCACAGCCTACGTTTAAGATTGATGAATATGTTTGTCTCTTTTCATTTTTTTTAATGCAGTTAATTATTTTTCGCAATTAATGGACGATTTGTTAATTGAAAGGCCAAACCAACTTGATTTTGAGATAGAAATATTTAATGGATCACGTTCAAACATTTAAATATATTGGTAACTAAAGGTAAATAATTAATTAAACTAAAAGTATAAGCCATTAACTTCATGGAGTTGTTTTGTTTTGTTTTTGTTTATTTAACTCTGTATCAATATGCAGTTTAACATTAAGTTGTCAGTACTAAAACGTTTTGTAGAAAATAAAAGCAGCATTGATATGACAAACTCATATAACAGCAAAACAAACTCTGACAAAACGCTGTGTGATGTTTGTTGTTTTCTATTTTCAGGTCTTGGTTTCGCATTTCTATCATTAACAGTCATCGTTCCAATCCTTGAAACCTTTACTAAACATCGACTTAGATATCTAGTGATGGTGCGGTCCGCAGAATCTGTGTCGTCCATCGTGTTTGCAAGCCTCACCTTGGTACCGGATATAGAAATTGATTGGCGGATCCTGTATCGGTACCAGCTGGTCGTGATGGTGGTGGCGGGGGCCGCTTGTGTGCTTCTGAAGCCACTAGAGACAATCAAAGCTGACGTCACTCGCGGCGTTATTGGTCGTCTGCTCGGGTTGTCGGATTTCTCATTGTTTAAAGGCGTGACACTCTATTTGTTGATACTTGTTTATGTCCTGGACCAAATAGGTGTGTATCTTGTTACTATCTCAGATCCGTATCTTTCTTTCATTTTGGCATTTCGCTTTTATTTTTATACCATATATACCTCAAGCAAACTGCGTGTTTAGCATAAAATATCTGAGGCAGCTTTTATGTATACAGCATAAATACAAAAACCTCTTGGTCGTCATTTGTAATTCCATTTAAATTACAAATTAATGTTTATATAAATAAATTGTTTTTGGTGAATTTGTGACAATATGTCATCACACTGCACATGACTAACTCACATGGTTATTATTTGACTGTTCAGAAATGAACTTAAAAAAGAAATAAGCTAGTTATTTTTGAGGTCATCACATAATGGCTGAAAGCTGTTATAACCATAATGAAATAGACATCGAGATTGAGATTGAAATAACAAATGACAAAAAAAGGCATGATTTTTGATGTGTTGATATGTACATCTTATTATGAATCTGGTCTAGACGTATGACGTAATGATAGTTTTGGTGACGCATTCCCTAGTTCTGACGAGGACAGTGAACATTTATCACATAACGAATACATATCAATATAAACTACAAAGTAAATCACTTTGATGTTATTTACATAAATTGGCGGTAACCATATTACTGTTGTCATGTTATTGTTAAGATAGTTATGTACTAGGTATTGATATGTTGCATCGTATTCATAATAAAATATTTCCCAAAATCGAAGGCAAGACCGATATTCTTGGGGAGTAAACTTATTGAATGTCAAATAATAACATTTCCGTGAATTTTTAAGTCAGCGAAAAAAAAGCTTACTATAGGGACAGACAGAAAAATCGCTTTAGAATAAGAGATAAATCTGTACAGGGAGTATAGTTAACAGCTGTTTGTTGTTCTCTTAAACGTAAATGTGATCAGGAAATACAAATTATTTAAGGTCTGCCTCCTCGACATACTATCACTTCATGTTTTATGTATCACCTTCAAAGAGATTTAATGTACTTACAAATTGTAATAGTCTATCCGGTTAAGGTCACAAACTTTGCGTCTGATTCGTTTGACCATAATGTTATATTTAAATATAGAAAAGTATTTATTTTCGTCTATTTCCAGGAATACCAACTACTCGGTACGATCTTTCCTCACTACTGGAAGACCCTACGAAGCAGTTCGGAGCTGATCTCTCTGTACGGGTAATCGTGATCCTGCCGTTTGTTGGAAATCTATTAGGACTTTTGGCACTCGTCTTCTGGAAAATGTTCAGTCTAGTGGACATCCTACAGATGCTTGGACCGGTCAACATAGCGTGCGGACTGCTGACCTTACAGGTCCCCGCTCTGGACAAGGTGGCCTGGGTGGCCGTGTACGCAGTAGTGTTTGGAATGTCTTCAGGTGAGTGTGCTAAATTGTATGTGTCGTGTCTGTGCCGTTGTCTTACATATTGTTAGTTTGGTGGATCATTTCTTTTCTATTTTAATGCCATGACACACTGACATAAAAAGAGGTGTCATTCAGCTTTCTAGTAGGACGTGACAATGGTAGAACGATGGTACAACAATCAGGCTAAACTTCACGTATACTACACATTTTAAGTTGTTCTGGTCCGAATGACCAAGCTAGCTTATACCACAGAGCGACATCCCTCGTCTGTCCGTCCATCCGGCGTCATTTATTCACTTTCCGAACAATTTCTTTTGAATGCCATAGAGTACAAGGGGTAACGATATTTGGTCAAGGACTATCAAGTTTGTTCAAATGAATGACATTGACTTACTTTAAAGGTCACAAGGGTCAAACTTGATTAAAGAATTTAGAGCGACTTACTCTGAATAAACAAAAAGACCAGAGAGCAGATATGTGTGTTACTTAGCATGCTTAAATGAAGGGCTAATACAATTTGTTTAAATGAACGACTTGACTCACTTTCAAAATATGTTACTTAAAACCTTTAAACGACTCCCTGTGCACATTTGGTCAATAGCATGTAGCATAAAAATCACAGGGGTCAGATGTGCTTAAAGAACCTTTCCACGACCTCTGGATAGCAAAGGAAGTAGCATATTTGGATGAAAGGAAATCGGGTTTGTTCAGGTGACGGACACTGCTTTTTCTCCATCATGGTGGTAATAGATTAGACATATCATTTGTGAACAGTGATAAGAATTGTGCGTTCACCAGGTTTCCTTGTCTTTACGATCCTGGTAAAACTGCTAGTACCGGTCTAACACCTGCGTCACCTCTGTGGCATCTAAATTGTCAATCTTATTTGCCTTATTATACTTTCAGAAGGACTCATTGTCCTCTCCTTCCAGCGTGTATAAAGGATCTTGTACACGTATTGCCAGTGTATACTGTTTTGTTTGGATTGGTCTCGGTGTCAACATGTACAATGTTCCTCACATTTTCCAGTTCGTTTTGCTTGTTTATAAATATATGTATTTTTTTATTCAATTTTTCTTTTTTATAAAGTGTACGCAGTAGTGTTTGGAATGTCTTCATGTGAGGGTGCTAAATTGTATGTGTCGTGTCTGTTTGGAATGTCTTCAGGTGAGGGTGGTAAATTGTATGTGTCGTGTCTGTGCCGTTGTCTTACATATTGTTAGTTTGGTGGCTCATTTTTTTCTATTTTAATGCCATGACACACTGACATAAAAAAGAGGTGTCATTCAGCTTTCTAGTAGGACGTGACAATGGTAGAACGATGGTACAACAATCAGGCTAAACTTCACGTATACTACACATTTTAAGTTGTTCTGGTCCGAATGACCAAGCTAGCTTATACCACAGAGCGGCATCCCTCGTCTGTCCGTCCATCCGGCGTCATTTATTCACTTTCCGAACAATTTCTTTTGAATGCCATAGAGTACAAGGGGTAACGATATTTGGTCAAGGACTATCAAGTTTGTTCAAATGAATGACATTGACTTGCTTTAAAGGTCACAAGGGTCAAACTTGATTAAAAAATTTAGAGCGACTTACTCTGAATAAACAAAAAGACCAGAGAGCAGATATGTGTGGTACTTAGCATGCTTAAATGAAGGGCTAATACAATTTGTTTAAATGAACGACTTGACTCACTTTCAAAGTATGTTACTTAAAACCTTTAAACGACTCCCTGTGCACATTTGGTCAATAGCATGTAGCATAAAAATCACAGGGGTCAGATGTGCTTAAAGAACCTTTCCACGACCTCTGGATAGCAAAGGAAGTAGCATATTTGGATGAAAGGAAATCGGGTTTGTTCAGGTGACGGACACTGCTATTTCTCCATCATGGTGGTAATAGATTAGACATATCATTTGTGAACAGTGATAAGAATTGTGCGTTCACCAGGTTTCCTTGTCTTTACGATCCTGGTAAAACTGCTAGTACCGGTCTAACACCTGCGTCACCTCTGTGGCATCTAAATTGTCAATCTTATTTGCCTTATTATACTTTCAGAAGGACTCATTGTCCTCTCCTTCCATCGTGTATAAAGGATCTTGTACACGTATTGCCAGTGTATACTGTTTTGTTTGGATTGGTCTCGGTGTCAACATGTACAATGGTCCCCACATTTTCTGTTCGTTTTGCTTGTTTATATGTATATATAAAAAAAATTATTCAATTTTTCTTTTTTTTATAAAAAACAAATTTACACACAAAGCAACAAGCATACATTACTTTGATTACAATTCCCTTCACAACAGACATCTGGTTTTGTTCTTTATAGTATAATGATAATTGTTCATGTTATTTTATAGGAGAAGCCATTTTTCCAATTCATTATGTTTGTCTATATTTTATACTTAATGGTTAAGACCATTTTTGGCTAGGTGGCTTATAAGTTTACCTTTTTTGATTTACAGGTGTTTTCCTCGCACTGACTGACAATGTGATACCTGGTGCGTTCGGGAAACAAAGCATTCGGATTGTAGAGGGAATCCTAGGGCTAGCTTCCGGTGTTGGTCTTATTATAGCTTTGCCTGCCAGTAGTACGTATTATCATACTATATTTTTATTAGCATTACATATTGATATACATGTTAATCGTTTACTATCAAAGTTACCGTTGTCACAGTAGACTTTAATTCCATGTCTGATTTTTCAATGTATACCATGTTTACCGATTGTGCTTTGTTTTTGATGATGTGTACTTCTGTATTTGATTGAAGTAACCATGACAAATGCCACGTGTTAGGAAGCAAAACATTCATCTTCTCTGGACATTGATGCTTGGTGTGTGTACATATTAATATCTTTTATATCTATTTCAGTCATTTTATTATTGAAATCACTTATTTTGAACAGATGCACTAAGTACTCAAACGACTCATGGCTATGAATCATCCTTCTACTTATCGGGATCAGCTCTTGTCATTTCCGGTTTGCTAGCAGTTGGTTTCCGGTTCGTGCTGTTACGTCAGAATTCGAAGAAAGAAAACAGTCGGTGACACCGTTATAGATGACAGATATAAGAAACGTTGTTTATCATTAACATATCGGTTATTTTCATAATCATTGATACAACTATGTGAATCTTGTTTGAGGAGCTAGATTGTTGCTAGGAACATTTACTGACAATGCTCTGTAAAGCTAGGAACATTTACTGACAATGCTCTGTAAAGCTAGGAACATTTACTGACAATGCTCTGTAAAGCTAGGAACATTTACTGACAATGCTCTGTAAAGCTAGGAACATTTACTGACAATGCTCTGTAAAGATCATGTGTCATACACAGATTGTTACTAGGAATATTTACTGTCAATGCTCTGTAAAGCTAGGAACATTTACTGACAATGCTCTGTAATGCACAGATTGTTACTAGGAACATTTATCTTAATTTCTGTATCTAAATGAATCATGGGTGGTTATAAGTGTCGGTAAAGTGAAGTACATAAGTATGTATGCGTTATCTGTGGTATCTTTATACTGCAAACCGTGTATTACAGTAAAATATTCATTTGTTTTGACTGTTATTGAATTTATCATGTTGTGTCAATTCGTTAGATAACAGGAATAAAAAAGATATCATTTTTTAATAAAAAAAAAATGCTTAAAAATAAGTACATATTTATTTTCTATTTTTGAATAATATTAATCTACAGTCGGCTGACTAAGTGAATTATGTGTAATTATAATTAAGTAATACAAGAAATATGTAAAAAATTGAAAACTATACACTCTTTAGATTATAAAATATTCTCAGTGTTCACGAAGACATCCATACATTACAAACTGACACTACAATGATTACCTAACTAATGTAAAAATAATAGCTAAAAAACACAATTTTGTGGGGGATTTTTTTTTTTTTTTTTGGGGGGGGGGGGGGGGGGGGTATGTAAACGCCAATGTAAAATGTCAATTTGTTTAATTCGATATAATGAATTAAAATGTTTACCTGCAATCACCAAGCTGCAGAGAGTCCAGCAAAGATACAAATATGACTTAGAGCTGGTATATCAAAGCCCTCACAGTTTTATACAAACCTAATCCAACTAATTATTGTGGGTATTATTTATGATCCTGTAGTTTGTGTTTAAGGAGTTCGGGCATGAATTGTGTGTTCCATGTTTTTGTATATTTAACAAACCACTTATTGGTGGTAGGTTCACTGATTGTTTTAGAAAAACAAACATGATTCTAATTTTCAAGTCTTGTTTGAGAAAAAATCTTACAAACTAAAAGACTAGTGACATTTTTGGCGTGCAGCTCCTTCATTGCCGAAGATTTTAAGAAACTTTTTCGTATGTTTTTAATAAAATAAATCCTCACATTTGTACAGAATATGAATTTGTGTTTGCCTTACAAGCCTACTGTAGCAAAACTCACGTGTTTTACTGATCATGTGTTTGAGGCCAGAAGGACCGATGTACATGCCGATATTTTTGGACAGTGAGAGTTTTAGTAGATTGAAGCACAAATGATATATTTAAAGTCTTAGTGTTAACATTTTAAACAGGTTGTTGATCGGATGACATCTGGTGTATGTTGTTTTCACAAAGAATCCATTTTTGTTCCAACTCTACCTATTGTACAAATGACCACCCTGCAGTTTAGCAACATTCTACTCGCTTTGTTTGCTGCTAATACAAATGTGTAAACGGATATGTTAAGGAATGACGGTCAGTTTTTTGTCTGGTGTAAAAAAAAAGTACCGTATGTAAAACTGCTTACAAATGATGAATATGTTGTACCATATAATGTATGTGAAACATAAAAATGTACGAGTTTCCATGAAAGAGTTTTTTAATATAAAACTACACGTATCATAGACCTAAGAGTTGTTTTATTTGATTATCCTCATTTCTCCCAACATAATATAAAACTGTATCAATTAGTATGATTATGTTTGAACTGTTAACTTTTTAAAAGTGTGCAATAAGTTCGTATTGCAATAATGTCAATTTCAGCATTTTTTTATTGATAAACAATTGGATTGAACAGCAGGCTTCAAGCCTATAATAGGCCATTTTCCATAATGTAAACTATGTATTAATATAATATCCGGTGATGGAAAGAAGTTAAACTCACCTGATAATAGGAAGTAAGCGTTTTTCTAATGTGTATACATTAAAGTGTCGGATCCTTTTGTTTTTTAAACAAACAAGTATCTGTGATATTTTACCTCACAATACATTTATCATTGTTATAAATTCTGTAACCGTACAATCGCGTCTAATGGAAATATCAACCTTGTTTCCCTTGTACATTATCCTAGTGTATTTAATATATAATATATTTCATCCTGGTTTATTTTAAAAAAAAACTCACACTCGAATAAATATATATCATATTTCCATGTTGTACATGATAATTCATATATTCCTATGGTGTTTTATATCATATTATTATCATATATATATATATATTCATGTGGTGTTTTATATCAAATTATTATCATATATATATATTCCTGTGGTGTTTTATATCATATTATTATCATATATATATATGATAATAATATGATATAAAACACCATAGGAATATATATAAATGATAATAATATGATATAAAACACCACAGGAATATATATGTATGATAATAATATGATATAAAACACCATAGAAATATATATATATGATAATAATATGATATATAACACCACAGGAATATATATATATGATAATTATATGATATAAAACACCACAGGAATATATATGTATGATAATAATATGATATAAAACACCATAGAAATATATATATATGATAATAATATGATATATAACACCACAGGAATATATATATGATAATAATATGATATTAAACACCATAGGAATATATATATGATAATAATATGATATATAACACCACAGGAATATATATATGATAATAATATGATATAAAACACCATAGGAATATATGAATTATCATGTACAACATGGAAATATATATCATATTTCCATGTTGTACATTATAATTCATATATTCCTATGGTGTTTTATATCATATTATTATCATTTATATATATTCCTGTGGTGTTTTATATCATATAATTATCATATATATATATTCCTGTGGTGTTATATATCATATTATTATCATATATATATATGATAATAATTTGATATAAAACACCACATGAATATATATATATGATAATAATATGATATTAAACACCACAGGAATATATATATATGATAATAATATGATATAAAACACCACAGGAATATATATATGATAATAATATGATATTAAACACCACAGGAATATATATATATGATAATTATATGATATAAAACACCACAGGAATATATATGTATGATAATAATATGATATAAAACACCATAGGAATATATATAAATGATAATAATATGATATAAAACACCACAGGAATATATATATGATAATAATATGATATAAAACACCACAGGAATATATATATATATATGATAATAATATGTTATAAAACACCATAGGAATATATGAATTATCATGTACAACATGGAAATATATATCATATTTCCATGTTGTACATGATAATTCATATATTCCTATGGTGTTTTATATCATATTATTATCATTTATATATATTCCTATGGTGTTTTATATCATATTATTATCATATATATATTCCTGTGGTGTTATATATCATATTATTATCATATATATATATATTCCTGTGGTGTTTTATATCATATAATTATCATATATATATATTCCTGTGGTGTTTAATATCATATTATTATCATATATATATTCCTATGGTGTTTAATATCATATTATTATCATATATATATATATTCATGTGGTGTTTTATATCAAATTATTATCATATATATATATTCCTGTGGTGTTTTATATCATATTATTATCATATATATATATTCCTATGGTGTTTTATATCATATTATTATCATACATATATATTCCTGTGGTGTTTTATATCATATTATTATCATACATATATATTCCTGTGGTGTTTTATATCATATAATTATCATATATATATATTCCTGTGGTGTTTAATATCATATTATTATCATATATATATATTCCTGTGGTGTTTAATATCATATTATTATCATATATATATTCCTGTGGTGTTATATATCATATTATTATCATATATATATATTCCTATGGTGTTTAATATCATATTATTATCATATATATATATTCCTATGGTGTACATTATATATCTATTCCTATTGTGCACATTTTATATATATATTCCTATGGTGTATATAATTATATATATATTCCTATGGTGTACAATATATATATATATTCCTATGGTGTACATTATATATATATATATATTCCTATGGTGTACATTATATATATATTCCTATGGTGTACATTATTTATATATATTCCTATGGTGTACATTATTTATATATATTCCTATGGTGTATATCATTATATATATATATATATTCCTATGGTGTACATTATATATATATTCCTATGGTGTACATTATATATATATTCCTATGGTGTACATTATTTATATATATTCCTATGGTGTACATTATTTATATATATATTACTATGGTGTACATTATATATATATTCCTATGGTGTATATCATTATTTATATATATTCCTATGGTGTATATCATTATATATAGATATATATTCCTATGGTGTATATCATTATATATATATTCCTATGGTGTACATTATCCCATGGTATATATCATTATATATATATATTCCTATGGTGTATATCATTATTTATATATATTCCTATGGTGTATATCATTATATATATATATATTCATATGCTGTACATTATTATAAATATTCATATGGTGTATATCAGTATATATATATATATTCATATGGTGTATATTTTCCCGAAAAATGTCAATTAATAGTCTATTGACATCAGTTCGAACGTTTATGTTGTATAATTTGATTAAGTGAAGCTTGATAGGATGGTCAAAGCTTCTATTGTTTATTATGTTTTCCGATATTCATATACCAACCTCACATGATTAATATGTACCGATAAAACTGTATGTTAACTTGTGTAGAAGTGGTTTGTTGTTACCAAGGTTACAGATTTATATAAGTAACTTACAGTGATAAATATGGTTGTACCACCAAGATACAATTACAATAAACATGGTGTGTTTTATAACAATATGGTCATACAAATACATATCGATACATTAAAATATATACCTATCTGAATCATTCAAGAGAAATATTGGCCATACCGCCATGGTACAAAATAAATCGTATGTTAGTCAGCTGTGTAATAGTGAATCACATTCCAAAGGTACGCCTTGATATTTTAAACATGTTCGTTCTTTTGCAATGTTCCCAACATATAACAAATAACCATTCTTGAAAAG